CTCTCGCAGTCATCGCAGAAGGATACCATGGTCGATGGTATCGAAAGCCGCCAAGAGGTCAAGGAGAACCAGGATGGAGGCATGGCCTCCATCTCTGGCTCTCCAGAGATCATCAGTCAATGCGACCAAAGCGGTATATTAATTAAATACTGTAATTTTACATTACAAAAAGGTATAGAGACTTTGAGAAAAGTGAAAAAAAGAGCAAGTAAGATGATTAAGGGCCTAAAACATATGAAGAATGGTTGCAAGAATTGGATATGGCTAGTCTAGGGGGAAAAAGGAGTAGGGGTGACATGATAGCAGTATTCCAGTATTTGAGGGACTGCCATAAAGAAGACGGGTCACCTTATTTTCCGAACTACCAGAAGGCAAAACAAGAAATAGTGGATGGAAACTAATCAAGGAGAGAAGCAACCTGGAATTAAGGAGAAACTTCCTTACAGTGAGGACAATTAAGCAGTGAAACAGCTTGACTTCAGACATTGTGGGAATTTCATCACTGGATGTTTTAAAGAAGCGATTGGACAATCACCTATCTGAAATGGTAGGGTCTCCTGTTTGAGCATGAGGTTGGACTAGAAGACCTCCAAGGTGCGTTTCAGCTCTATTCTGATTAATTGTCAGGGCTGACTCGCTACACACTCCAGTTCGCAACCAGACAACAGAAACAAGGAGTGGGGCGGGAAAGTATTGCAATGCATAGAAGCCTTGGGAGGGAATTGAGGAATGCAAGTGAGGTGATATAGCCTGAGACCATCACAACAAACCCAGAGTCAAATGCTGGGAAAATTTCAAGGTGCTCAGATTGTTCCAAAAAGAAAATAAAGGCAATTGATTGGTGGACAATGAACAATGGGGAGGTCCAGAGGAAAAGGTTTTTTTTACCTAGGCTGGTTTTTGTGTAAAAACTTTAGAGCTGGCTTTGCTACTTCTGTGCCTATGTGGAATTATCAGTAAAGTTATATTCTTGGTAAAATAATGTGCCAGGAGTTTCTTTTGCTACATTTACCAATGGGACAGTTTTGACAGTAATATTATAGATACTGAATGATCCTATTTGTATGAAGTTTTACTGTACTAATAAAACAAGTGCTAAAATAAAACACCTCAAATTCCCAAGCCATGATGCAATATACTGTAGAATATTGAAAGAACTGCTGGAAGAGCTAGCAGGGCTTCTGTCAATTGTCCAGAAGGAGTTCTGGGGAACTGGGGAAGTACCAGAAGATTAGAGAAGAGCAAAAGTGCTTTCCCTTGAAGAAATAAAAAAGGATAATTATTAACCAGTGAGCCTTACATAATGAAAAAAACAAAATTGCAATCTGATACATTGAAAAACTGGACAGTGAGCAACAAAAAGTTTTTCAATTGAAAGAGGAAATATATAGGACACACATACCAGATGGAGGATTCATGTTTTGGAAGCAATACATTAAAAAAAATTTTGATTGACAAATTGAGCATAAAAAATGTTGGAGCTAATGTACTTTGAAAATGCATTAGAAAAAGCATTTCATCAAAGCTATGTGAAGTTGTTATTCCTCTCTATTCTGCACTGATGAGATCCTACCTGGAGTACTGTGTATAATTCTATGCAAAACATTTCCAGAATGATTTTGGCCAGGTTGTCAAGTTCAAAGGAGAATACAAATGAATAGATGAAGAAATAAATGAATAGAGGTCAGGCTGAAGGAACTTGAATGTAGACATCAGACTGGTCACAGCCTGCTCCCTAGGAGAGAACAACCCTTGGTCGTTAGGTGTTAGAGAAAAGGTACTTTTATTAGAGGTGCTGAGTGCAGCAAGAGCAAGGCAAGCTTTGAAGGAAAAATGTGTGAAAATCATATACTGAAAGCAATCCCCAATGTCCAAATCTCTCCCCTCTGTGAGAGTAGTCCAATCAAGTTCTGTTCCGATGTTTTGACAAACCACTACCTCAGACACTGCTATAAATTCCTTTCACAGGGCCAGCATCCTTGAAGGTAGGAAGATGACCGTAGAAATGTAGATTTAGGGATACAAGATATGTTCAGATGTATAAAGGGAAGCTACAGTGAACATGATCAGGAATTATTTTTCCTTGCCACAAAAATCAGTTCTAAAAATAATGGAAGCTACCAACATTTCATTTATAATAAAATAACATAGTTGGAAGGGACCTTGGAGGCCTTCTACTCCAACCCCTTGCTCAAGTAGGAAACTATACCATTTCAGACAAATGACTGTCCAATCTCTTCTTAAAAGCCTCCATTTTTATTTTAAATAAAAGGAAAAACATCTTGATGATTTACTAAAGAAGCTTGTGGCGTTCCTCTATTTAGAGGCGTTTTACATGAGATGGGTAAGCCACATCTCTAGGATGGTTTCATTGGTTTTACTGCTAATTACAAGGGTTGGATTAGATTATCCTGGTGATCACTTCCAACTCGAGAATTCTATGAACCGATTCCAGTATAACATGCATCCAAATGAACAACTTAACAAGGAGCTTTTGATATTCTGATTTATGGAAAATGCTTTGGTGTTAGTCATAATTATTAATATAATATGCATGGTGTGATAGGTATGACATGTATTTCAGCATTGTATTTTTTTCTTTTGGTAATTTAGTTACCAAGTAATTTTGAGTAAAGTTACTGTAATACCTTCAGAAGCCACCTTGTCTCTCATTATTCTTTCCAAGGTTCCACGTGGAAGTTTCTCAAAAGCTTCATTAGTAGGTGCAAAAAGTGTATAATGCCCAGGCTTCCCTAAAGTTTCCATTACATCTGATGTAGAGGCAGCAGCCTATGAGAAATAGGGAATAAAGAAGCTTTTAAACTCTTATGCAAAAACGAATAGTATAATTTTATTTTTTAAAATATTGCCAATTGTCTTTGACATCATACCAAAATACATGGTAATTAATTGTACTGAAAATCTTTCTTAGCATAAAATATAATACATAAATGTTGCAATATGATATACGTATATACATGCAAATTGTATGTTATTTAAAGTAATTCCTATTGAATTGTGACAGATTTTCCTTTCTGTAGATCTGAAGGAATTAGCAGAAGTGAAATCGGAACTACTAAACCATATCTTTCCATATCTTCTGGGGAACTACCAGAAGACTGGAAAATAGCTGATTTGGTTCCCATCTCAAGAAAGGGGAAAAACAGATCCTGGAAGCCATAGACCTATCAGCCTGACATCAATATCTGGAAAGAGCCTACAAAAGACAATCAAGCAACGAATCTGCAAACAACTACAAGCAGACAAAGTTATAACCAGTAGTCAACATGGGTTTGTCTTCTTAAAAGCCTTCAGTGGTGGGGCACTCACAACTTCTGAAGGCAATTAGTTCCACTGGTTGAATGTTCTTACTGTTAGGAATTTTCTCCTTCTAGGTTGCTTCTCTTCTTCATTAGTTTCCATCCATTGTTTCTTGTCTTCAGGTACTTTGGTAAATAAGTTGACCTCCACTTCCTTATGGCAGCCCTTCAAATATTGGAAGACTGCTATCCTGTCATTCCTGATCCTTCTTTTCATTAGACTAGGTATATCCCGTTCCTTCAATCGTTCTTCATATATTATAGCTTCTAGGCACCTAATCATCATGCTCTTCTCTGAACTCTTTCCAAAATCTCAAAATCTTTTTTGTGTTGGGATGACCAAAACTGGTCCTTATAAAGTGGTACTATTACTTTGTGTGATCTTGATTCTATCCCTCTGTTAATGCAATCTAGTATTGTATTAGCTTTTTGGCTGCTGCAGCACAATGTTGGCTCATGTTTAGATGGTTGTCCACTAGGATTCCAAGATCTCTCTTGCAGTTACTACTATTGAGCCAGGTTTCACCTAATCTGTACCTGTATTTTTGGTTTGTCTTGCCTAAGGGTAAGATTTTGCAAAGAATCAGGGCCTTTTGTTAAGTTGCAGTTCAAATTTATTGCTCAAGCTTATACATAAGAATCTTGTCAAGTTCAGTACTAAATTAGCACCAGATATGGGTCACCAGAATTCAAGAAGGGCTGGTCTTAGATCACTTGTGGGAATGTAAAAATGCTAGCTGATGACTTGTTTAACTCCACCCTCAGTTATGTCTGCTCTTCTACACTTGCAAATTTAATCAATATTCTAACACTGAAAATTGATCAACATAGTCCATTAATTTCACTCCTTCTCTTCAGTATCTAAACAGTGACAAAATTAACAAATTCCCTTATTTTATGACAAAAGAGCATAGCCAAATCTAAATTAGATGGTTGATCCCTAATATTGCAGTGCTGTTCACAATTGCAAAGACGGATTCCCCTTTCTCAACCACTTTAAGAAAAGAAAAGCAGATGATAAAAAATATTCCCAGTTTATCTGGAGAGCAGGATGCGCTTTCAGTACAACACAAAGAAGATTAGGCTAAGCTCCATTCATTAGACAGTTGTATAAATTGTCAAATAATTCATTGCCTCGGCTCTGTTTAATGGGCTTTTTACCTACTGGTAGTAGATTGAGGAGCATACAATGATTCTAGAATGGGATACAAATATGCATTTTAGATTATCAAAATGTAGCATCTGTAGCTCAAGAGGAGTGAGATTCAGATTTGTCAGTGGGAACATTTTATTTTATTTACAATGTCCCTTGATACTACTAATTCTGGAAAATCAATAATTTTCTATATAACTTTCCCTACCACTGGCTTAATAATAGATCTGGGTGGGCAGATTAATTACCAATCAAACTAATTTTATTTTTAAAATTGTATTTTACTGTACTATCTTCTTCCATTACATGCTTTAGCTTAATTTTTAGTTATATAGAGAAACACCAACTATTTTAAAAGACAAGATTCGAAGAAAATAAGATTAAATAAAAACTTACTTTGAGAGACGAGAGATCATCTTCAGATTCAATGAAGTCTTGAATAGTATTACCAACTGGAGTTAGCACACGATCAATTACATGAACAACACCATTTGTAGCAATTTGATTGCCATGGGTGATTCTGGCACAATTAACAGTCACAACCTAAATTGGAAGAATAGCATGAATTAATGTTTGTTATAAATTTGGCTTCCCAACTTTTACCAAACAAGCTTTACATAATCTTTTTTTTCCAATTAATTTTATAACTTGCTTATGAAACTTGTGATGTTTGTTTTTAAAAGTTCAGGGAACAATATAGCTGGAACATATTTTATAACATAGCCCTTTAAGTTACACTTCATTTTGTGTGACTAAAAAAATGATAGCAATCATAATTACTGAACTGCTTTCATGTAGATTGTTGTCTGAATACTAACCCAAGGATTCTAGTAAGATGTGTAACTTAATTAGGCTCAATGAGAGTTTACCAGTATTTGAAGTGCATCAACACCGTGCCCATGGGACAACTACAGTAATAAATATCAATAGAGGGTCCCTCAAATGAAGTTCTTTGGACACCATTTTTACATATTTTAAGTACACAGGAGTTTTAAAATATTGTTTTTTTATTATTTTGTATGTTGTTTTCTATTTTTGAAAATCATCTTAACATAATAATATATGACATCTTATATGAACAAATTACTCATATGAATTTCAAGGGAAATTTAAACTAGAACACTGAATCTTAGATCTCTTTCCAAAATGTATGATGTAGGTGGTACAAGCCACATCCTAATGTCCATTTATGTTATACAGATAAGCTTACCCCATTGGGATAGTGATTTATATGCAGGTTTTGATTGTTGTACATAGACACCAGAGTCATGCCATTCCGAAGGTCCTTTGTCAACATCCGTTTGTTTACCATATGGTTGTGGAGAGCATTATACAGTTCGATGTTTACATTTTCAATCAGACCACTGTAGATTTCCTGGAGGCAGGGTAGTTGAAATCAGGGAGATATTCCATTAATATTATTTCAGTTAGCTAGTGAGGTATTTTTGACTACTCTCTGAATCTTCTGACTTACCAGCATACCAGTAATTTCACTAATATAGCCACTACATGCCAACAATAACAAGTGGCTAAACATTTCCTTCTTTGAGAATAGCTTCAACTTTCTGCTCCAGCCTACAGCCCTGATATTTTCTGGACACCTCACATTTAAGTACAAAGCAGGCAACCTGAGAAGATCAGCCACATGCTACTACTGCTGCCTACCTACTTTATTTCAGTTTCCTACTTCTTCTACTAAGCATGCTCTTCTTACAGCTCATTTTCTTGGTAATCTTTACATTTTTTATATCCCCTTTTTTCCATCTAGCTTTTCTCCTTCAAAAAAAGTTTATTTATATCCACTTCCACCTTTTCTATTCCTTCCTACCTCATTAGTAAAGATTTTCTTAGATCAGAGGTATCAAACTGGATATCTTCGCAGGCCAGCTCAGCATTGTAGTTCTCCTCCGCTGGCTGGAGAGAAGGGACAAGCACTTCCTGCACTTTGCTGGCCAAAATGGGCAACGGGAGGGGGGGAGTGACCCATTTTGGTCAGCAGAGTGTTGCAGGAGGCCGTCCAGGCTGAAAATGGGGCATGGGAGGCAACGTGCACTCCCCGCGCCCCATTTTGGCTGTCAGAGGCACCGTGGGCTAATTATTCGCTATTTTCAGACCGGCCCCATGGGCTAGATTTAAAGAACCTGCAGGTCAGTTCTGGCCTGTGGGCCTTGAGTTTGACACCCCTGTCTTAAATCAACCTGCCATTATACTTGCCAACTCAACACTGTCCTTCATATCATTATTATTCCACTGTCAGACACTGTGTAGTCTCTTAAACTTTGTCCTCTTTAATTTAGTCTACACCTAGCTTCTTATATTCATTTAATGTATCAACGCTGGGTAATTGGAAAAGCCTAAAATCAGGCAAAATAAGCCTTTACTGGGCATTCTCTCCATTTCAGTATTGCTTCCATTTTCTAAGATTTAATGAAAACCTCAGGCCTTCCCTATATAATCTTAGGGCTTTTCACTTTAGGTAAAAACATAGGAATCAGCAATTGGATAACATAATCATAATTTTACTTGTTACATGGTACATTGGGAAAGACATGATTAGTTGTCATTTTACATTTTATTTTATTTTATTTTATTACAATGAAACAGACTATACAACACATTTTCTGCAGCCTAGTCTTGTGAATTTCAAAGTGTGCCTTTCTGAAGCCAGAAGATGTATTATAGAAGCTACTGTGAAAATCCAACTCTAAGTTATGTTCCAGCTATCTTACCTCATGCTGCAATGCTGAACACTGGTTATTTAGAGTTATGTGTGTGCGCGCGCAAGTGAATTTGCGAATATATGTGTATAAAGTTAACCAGAATCAATAATTCCAATAATATGTACAGAAGCTGAGTGTTAGTATTTCTTCATTCATAATTTATTCATCTATAAATTTCTTAGCATTAAACATTTCTTTAAAAATCAAAATTGATATAATTACACGATCTAAAAGATTCCAAGCTTCATTGCTTGGTGCAAATAATGTGTAAGAGCCAGGTCCTTCAATTTCTTCCTTCAGTTTCGACATCTCAGAATAACGTTGAGTGGAGGTAGCTCCTACTATGCCCAAAGTACCAAATATGTGGTCTATTGGAGCCACTGAAAAAGAAAAATAACTTATAGTTATAAAATCCTTTTCTAAATTAGTTGCTCTTTTTCTAGTGAATTATTAATGGAATTTACTTAAGTATTGAGGTGGTTCCTCTTTTAATGTGCAGATTTTAATGCAAATAAAGTTCCTTAGGACTTTTTGTGTTAATCCATTACTTCAGTAACCTGGAATTTCTTGTGGCCTGTAAAATCCAAGGAAGTAGACAGGACAATATTGTAAATTATCCTCTGCTTTGTGCAAGCTTGATCTGTGCTTATCTTGGTCCAACTTGCACATGGCAGAGGATCATCAAACTTCCTTTTTATTATGTCTATAAAGCTGCTGAATTATCCAACAGAAAAATATCACCAAGTTGCCAAGAATATCCAACTTTAAATCAACATTTCAGGCTGTAGAGGAGACACCACTGATGTCTTGCACAGTGTCTTGAAACTGTCAGGATTTCTGTCAGAAGTAGAATTGAACTCTGACAAGGTTCAAGTACAGTTTGTACATCAAAGCTCTCCATCAATAGCAATGTTATCTCTGGACAAGCAGGCATTACCTTTGAAAGAACAGATTTATGATCTGGGATACTTCCGAATTCATGGCTTTTACTAGCTAAAAAGGCTTTGGGCCTGCTTTGGCACCTATTATGACGCTACTTAGCACAAGATGGCCTAGGTCTGTGATGGCGAACCTATGGCACAAATGCCAGAGGTGGCACACAGAGCCTCTGTGTGGGCATGTGTGTTGGAATCCCTGAAACTCAAAGACCAGTTGGCCGGTCCGCATCCACACGCCAGCCACCTGGTCTTCAGGTTTCCAGCAGACACAACTGGTCTTTGGGTTTCTGGGACACCGGTTTGCGCGAAGACCTGCTGGCTGGTGCACATGTATGCGTCGGAAATCAGAAGAGCAGCTGGCAATGGCTCGTGTGCCACAGAAAGGGCTCTGCATGCCAACTTTGGCATGCACGCCATAGGTTTGCCATCATGGATCTAGGGGGAATCTATTCCTAATGTTCTACCATTGGGAAATAAAGGGAGCTGAAACAATGAGACTGCTGGTTGCAACACCAATACCCTGGAATAGCGTTTCTGTAAAGTTCAGTCTGGAACCATCGTCTGATTCATTAAAGGATAAAAAATAGAGCTGTTCTAGGGTGGTGTTGAAGTCCACACATCTTCAAGTTGCCAAGGTTGAGAAACTCTGTTCTAGGGCATCTTTTAATTTTTTCAAGACAGTCTTCTATTTCTATAGATGTTTTAAATTTGTCAAAATAATTATGGTGAATACAAAAGTAAAAATAAATAAATTGGGTTGAGAAAATAGTTCCATGATAATACCTGCAGGACAGCCTCGTTCTCCTTCCATCTTCATATAGCCAGGGCAGCACTCATATAAAACCGTCCTGCAGAGTACCAATGCAATATTATTTGATCTTACTAGGTCTTAATATTTATTTAGTATTCCTATTAATATAAACATATTTGAAGTGGATTAGAGGAAGCATATATAGATAGATAAGACTATATAAAAATATAGAATTTATAAAATATATAAAAACAAAATGCATAATAAAAAACTATATTAAAGCAACAATAAGAACAGATGAATTAAAAGCCTGCAATCAGAGTAAAAGCTAGGAACATATCTTTCAGAGATCCTGGAACACCGGGGAACTACCAGAGGACTGGAAAAGAGCTGATGTGGTTCCCATCTTCAAAAAAGGAGGGGGGAAAAAGATCCAGGAAACTACAG